TGCACTCGGCGTGAGTTTAAGCCACCGGGTCTGGGACGTGAACCACGGTCGGTTACGCTAACTGCTGGTCCCAGGCATGATATCTTTTCTATGCAAAAATGCATCATAACTTTTCTGACACCCAATACTTGTGTGCCTTGCACAAACTGTGTTATATGTAGATATTTTCCTGCATAGTAAATGTCAATGAAATATATTAGTTTATTATTTAGTTTTAAAATATTGTTTCTGAGGAATGAACACAGTTATAAAATTTTTAATTTTAATATACACTTACAATTGTAGCTATTTAACTAGTATACAATATTGTAGCTAATATATTCAAAATCTACTATTAATCTCAGTAAAGTGATTGAATATTAATTAAAAGCTAAGCAATAATATAAAATATTATTTTAAAAATGAATATAGTTCATTGATGATTGTATTAGTGCTCTAATACTGGCAAAATAAATTACTGCAAATTTAGTGAATTCAAACAATGCAAATTTATTATCTTATGGTTCTGTAGGTTAGAAGTTGGACCTAGGCCTCATGATGCTGAAAGCAAAGTGTTGGAACCTCTTTCTGTGGGTTCGAGAGAGGAATGTATTCTTGCTTATCCAAGTTTTCAGGGGTCTCACACATTTCTCAGCTCATGGTCCCCTTCTTCCATCTTCAAAGCCAGCAATGATGCCTTTCTCTGATCCTCCTTTTGCAGTTATATCTACCACTGACTCTCTTTTTCTGCCTGTATCTCCCACTTTTAAGACCTTGTAGGGAGCTGACAGGTGGTGTGGTAGTTAGGCCACTGGACTCCCATATCGCCATCCGTGGTTCAAATCCTGAACCTGGCAACTTGCTTTCTCACTTTCCCTTTCTATCTCTCTCTCCTGGTCAAATTAAATAGAAATAATAAATAAATAAATAAATAAATAAATAAAATGAAATATATAATTCTAAAAAGACCTCACCAAACCATTGTGATCAGATTGGGCCAACCAAGATAATACAGTATAATTTTTCTATCTCATGGTTCTGTCATACCTGTGAAATCCCTTGACTATGTAAGTTAACGTATTCACAGATACCCGTGATGAGGATGTGGACTGGACATCTTTTGCGGATTTCTCTTTGGCCTCATTCTGCTTGTCACAATGACAGGCATTGCATACTTTTAACCACTACTAATGAAATAACTCATGTGTCATTACTTTTGCATTAAACTAATGTTTTTCTTTAGGGAATTTATAAATTCCAGGCTTCTCATGTGAAATCCATGTAAAACATACATACACTTATCTGGCAAAGTAATTCTTAATGTTATGATGATTAGAATACGGATATTGTGATTACAGATAATTAGACAGAACATTTAATTTAAGAAATTTATTATGGATGAATTAAATGCTTTACAGAACAAATATCCTGTGTCCCAACATGTCTATCACTAGTCACATTTATCACATATGTGAATAAACACTGTAATTTGGTTATTTTATTAATCAGATTAACTGAATGATTACAATTTATTCAATTTATGATGCATCATCATAGTGAATAATGTCAATGTTTTATAGCTATTTTGATAATTATAAAAGTGTTCAGATTTACTGTAGGAATATGTAAAATATTTGATTTTTATTCGAGTTCATTATTTAAAACAATACAAATCTCAGCAATACTAAGTTATTGACATTGATAGGTCCTAATGTTTGTTTTACAAAAAACCATCGTTGTGTCCTATTATTCACAAAAAGATTTGTTGGCAAAATTCAATTTAAGTTCTTATATCTTGTGGATTACAGGTATATGATTTCCAGTTTTTGTCTATGCAGAAGATCTCAACATGTACCAGGTGCCACCATTTGTGTTTTTTATCCCAGGGCTCTAAAGTCTTTGTATTTGAATGACCTTCTATTTCTTCTTTTTTTCTTTTATTTTCTTCTTCTTCTTCTTAATTTCCAAAGGGCACATGTACTTGCTAGAGAGAAAGAAAGAAGAAAGATAGAGGGAGAGAAAAACAAACAAACAAACAAAAAATATCCTCTAATGGAATATAGTCATGCTGCAATTCTTTCCACTTCTCCATCGTATTGGGATTTGGGGCATGTACACACATGTGCCGAGAATGTTTTTCTTTCTTTTCTTTTCTTTTTTTTTTTTTAAAGTTTTACCTTAGGGCACATGTGCTTGCTGGGGAAAGAACGAGACACACACACAGAGACAGTAAGAGGGAAAGTGAGAAATCATCCCCCAGGGAGGATGGTCACACTGTAATCCTTTCTCCTCTATTCTCCTCCTGGAACTTGGGCACACATGCACACTCACCCAGCATGACTTTCAAGCTACCAGGTCTGGGACTTGAATGATAGTTAGTCATGTAAGAGTCCAGCGATGTAACCAGTACTCCATCTCTTGGTCCCAAACTCCAGCATATTTTTCAAGCTGTTAGGACCAGAATTTGAACTACTGAGGACTATAGGTGTCTAGCACCCTTAACTGTTAGACTACAGGTATGACCAGGAGAGCTCCTTCTTAATCAGAAAGTATTACGAAAAATAAATACATAAATAAATAAAATCAGAAAGTATTATCACCCTCCAGGCCTTGGCATGAACTTTACATCAACTTAGAAGCTTAAAATAACTGTCACCATACACCTATATTTATGAACATTCATGAATGTACTAGGAAAGAAAATAGAAACTACTTTTGAGCCTCTATTATATGTCCAAAATGGCTTTGGTCCCTTTTACCTTCTTCTCTTATTTAACTCTTGCAACATCTCATTAATTTTGAAAAGCAAAATAAAAGCTAGGTTTTTCTCTAAAGATATGCATTTAAAACTAGGTATTGTGAATGTGCACACTTTCAACATAAGTGATAAGTCAAAATTTCAAATATTATGGACCAACCAACATGAAAAACTTGACATAGAGATGGTTTTATTTTGCATTTTCTTTTGTGTTAGGAGCGGATCCCAGAGAGTCCTTCTCCTGCTCCCTCTCTAGAAGACAGTCATCGCCCTGGGAGCCAGACCTCTTCCCACCCCAGCAGCAGTGTGTCCAGCTCTCCCTCTCAGATGGATCACCATTCAGAGAGAATGGGTGAGTATCTTGCCTAAAACAAGTGATCTGAAGACATTCTTTTAGGAAATTACTCATTAGGTGCTTGCTTCGGCAGCACATATACTAAAATTGGAAATTACTCATTAGGTAATAAGGGAGAAAGTAGCTGATGCTTCCTTAATCTAAATGGCTTTTGAAGTACTTTTATTATTTTTATTTTATTTTATTTTTAAATTGCTAATGCAATGTGACCAAGAAAATGAAATGAGTTTGTTCCCTACAAAGGTCTTTCTTTACTGTATCACTGTCTCTCGTAGGAGTTATATGATAGCATTAAAAAGAGTGTATGTTACTTCCATATGTTACATAGCAGCTGGTATGATGCAATACACTTGTTCCATTCACAGCATCCTTTTGAATAAAAGATGGTAAAATACTAAGTAGTTTATCATTAAGAGTGATTAGTAAGAGAATCAATATAAAACTTGCCACAATCTCAAGGATTTAGATTACAGATATTTAATATGCATTTCCCTATATGTGTGTGTGTATGCATATATGTGTGTGTGTGTGTGTGTGTGTGTGTGTGTGTGTGTGTATAATTGTCTCAGAAATCTTACACATAGACACTATGATAGAACTTGGTGATGCATGATGCAGCATATTGGAAACTTGAATCTAGCCATAAATTCAACTGGCACTAACTAGTTATAACATCTTGAATATGTCACTTAAAACCATGAATTTCTTTACCTATTATTGTATGGAAATAATTATTGCCCAGACTAATCAACTGGGTTATTGTGAAAGCCAAATGAAATAATATGCACAGAAACACTTTAGAAGTAAGGATAAGAGGAATAGTCACTGCTTTTCTCCATGTGACTTCACTTTGCTTATTACATCTGATCCTACTTAGGTTTACAGAAGTTACCAGGTACATTGAGAATAACAATTTCCCATTCACAACTGTATATAATAATCATAGATTCAATTGAGCTAAGTAAAGTCTTCATTAACTTTCTATCCCTACACAATTTAATTTCCTATGTATCCATTTCTTTTATGGACAATGATTTCTGCAGTTCTTTCAGTTTTACTATTGAGATGTTCTCTGTGTGAACTCTGAATTTTTACTGTTCATAATAATGATTGCTTCCAGTTTCTTTAAAATATTGTGCTTTTGTTGAAGGAGGAGAAAGATTTCAGGAATTAGAGAAAGTGTTAAATTCTGGATTTTTTTTCTGGGTAAGAATGGAGACTTTTTTTTTCCTTGTGGAAATTCTTCCAAGTCACAGTCAATATTTATATACTGGTTGTGGCTCTTTAGCTTCGAAGCTTCAGAGTGAGCTAAGTAAGTCTGAATGAAGTCTGGTTCCACATTATAATAACCTGAGAAGTTTTTACAAATGGATGACCAGGCTTCACAATCTTAGTTTGACATATTTTGTCTAGGATAGAGCCCAGGAAGGGGTGTTTTGTTTTGGTTTTCAGTATCTCCTTAGAAGGTTCTAAAGCTCAGTTAGGGTTAAGAATTGGAAAGTTAGAGCTTGAGGCTAATGGCCCTGAGGGAGTAAATTTAATCCAGGGCCAAAGTGACAGAGATCTTATAGCTTTACTATGTTCTATGAACACAGACTCCCTGATTGTAAAAACATTGTGTACAAATGATTCAAGGGAGTCTGAGCAAGACAAGAGGCTATAGCCTGATGATCATTAATGAATCAAGAAACTAAAGCACACTTTATTCTGTTGGAATAATCTTTGTATTGATGAGGTAGAGGAGGGAGATTGAGAGGAGGGTGGTATATAGAGAGAAAAAAATATTTTTTTTGAGTTCTAGCTAAAACAGAGCATATAGGGAAATATACTTGGTGATAAGTATAAGAGAATGAGTAACTTACACTTTAAAATAAAATATTTCCAAAGTAGTGTAATATCCTCAGCAAAATTCTTGATAACATAGTATATTTCTAATTCTACTGAAAGTAATTAGGCTCAGTATATACATTCAATAATAGGCCAAGCAAGATAGTGTAAATGAATAAAAATATTTGTTGGTTTTAGCTTTTCAAAGACCGTATTTTATATAAAGCTATAAAAGGTTTTAATAAAATATGAGTAAAGAGAAAGAAATGATAAACTCTAAAAATCAAGATGTTTTCCCTCTTTCAATAAAAATGTTTTGTAAAGAATCACAGTAATTACCAGAAAGTTATTTTTTATCAACTAATCTAGCTGTATACAATATATGGAAAAGCCTCCATGAATTGAGTTAAATGCACAGTTATTTTAAACTCATAATTTAGTAAGTGGTAAATTATTTTATGAAGCATTTTGGGAAATATGCTATTAATTATGGAGGCAAATAACTAATTTGCATATGTATTTTGAAGGAGAAATATTTAAAATGCTTAAAGTAAAATATATTGGCAATTATCTATGTAGTATATATTAATTATACTTTAAAATCTGCACGATTAAATAGCCTATTGAGTTTTAAATTATATGATCATCAGACAAACAAAAATCTTTCTACTGTTTTAGAAGTGGAAGTATATAAAATTCATGTTAGCTGTTATTGGAGACTATTAGTCATTTATATGATGCTTTTCTGACTTTCTTTTGGGATTTTTGCATAGAAAATTACTGTTCCATCTCTTATTTATAGTCATGATGCCCAACAATAGAGAGGAACTTATTGTTGATCAGGATAATGGACCAACCATCAAAAAATTCCAAAGGGATAATAAAGGTAAAATTATTTTTGCTTATTTAATATACATATAAAGACAGATACTAACCCAGTTAACATCCCAGTGTTGTATATTGCATCTACATTTTCCTAAATTAGAATGGATCCATACTGGTTTAGATATATTATTTTAGTAGTAAAAAAATAAATTGTTTACCGGAAGCATGTTTATTTGGTGTTTTAAATTACATAGCAACCTGAAATTTGCGTATATGGTTGGAAGCTCACTTTAAGCCTTTTTATTATACCTGTTCAGAGTCATCGGGCTCTCTGTGTATTCTATATGTATTTTATTGACTATGTTTAATGGCTTACTATTTAAAGGCTGTGTTTACAAAATCTGAGTTGTTTGTCATGGAGGAAAGCTGCTCCCCTCAACCCTGAATTTTTTGAAATGTATGGTAATTTAAACATTTCAAATGAAAGCTTAGAAATTCAAACCATGAAGTATTTACTTGTATTACTGATAGATATGATCTCCACTTAGCTTTTGATCTGCCAAGGTATATATACTACATATGTACAGTATCCATTTTTTGTCTTAGTATATTAATTTAAAAAAAGGTAGGTTGAAAAATAATTTCAAGTGATTTTCTTCTGGTATAAGAACTGAGGACAACTTTGTTTAAAATGCTAAAAAGGTAAGAGAAAAGATAAATACATAACCAATCATATGTTATCACCTATGCATTATTGCTGTTACCATGAATCCAACAGTAGCTAACATGTAATTTGTCAGATCATTAGATGGCCTGTATTTCCCCATAAGGTACATTTTTTCTGTCTCTACTAAAGGTCTTTATAGTATAGAGAAAAAAGACTCCATGATCTGAAGAGTTAATGGAGAATTTTTTCTTTCTTCTCTAGATTGAACTTGTTTCATAATTACCTAGTTGAGCATTTTAGTTGGAATTTGGAATAATGTATGATTTTAATTTCATTGATCCATGGTTGGTTTCCTTGCCACATGTTTAGTCTTTTCCTAGCCAGACACTGAAAGGCTATACCCTCTGGGGCTCCAAGATGCAAATGATTTATTTCAGAAGAGTTGTCAGTACGGAAGAAGTCAGGTTCAGTATATTAAACTGCCTAAATTCTTACACAGGTAAGGAAATTATATTTAAAAGATGAAGCTTCATTCACAACGCAGCAATAATTTGTTCCTGAGACCTCTTCCCCCACATCCTAGCTATTTGAAGGACAACCTGGGACTAAAAGCATCTTTTCTAGAAAAATCTCTAGCTGTACATGACACATGTGATTCCATTGGAACTGCAAGCCCCATAAGTCAAAATGGCATTTAGGACTGGTCTGTGTGCTGCTGCGCTCAAGTATACACTGTTGTGTCTTATGAAAAATCAGCTGGAGCACTAGTACAGATGTACAGTAACTGATTTTCATAAAATACTCAGTGGTATGTACTGACATTTCTGAATCTCTTGCTGTGGAATGGCACAGTTTTATTCATTTCAATCAAATAGATTGGTCATACATCCTGATGAGGCCATTAATAAACAGGAGTGGCATATTATTAAATTGTACCCTAATTATAGTGGAAAGTTTTCTTCAAAACAGGATTTTCTATGGCAGGTTCTACCAGTTATATTTGGGATAGTAAGACAAAATATGTTTTCCTCATCCAGATTTTAGTTATTAAAAGGGAACAAGTTGAAGTATAAGTCTCAACATTTATTCAATATGACAAGCAAGCAGTTTACAGAACTGTGGCAAACATATGTTTTCACATCTGTCTTGAGTAATATCACCATGATTTTAAAAATGATTTATAGCTCTGGAAATTATAAAATGCCAACTTTGCTATTATGAGGAAATTTTCAGAAAATGAAGAAATAATAATAGAGTATGCTTCATATAGCTCACTCCTTCCTGCACCTTGAAAAATTGGGTGACAGTGCAATGAATGTATGTTTCAAATGACAATTTGCAATTTGCATTGGATTTAAATATGTGGACATGTAAAAGTCTATATGATCGAGATCAGCAGATGACATAGCAATTATGTTACTGGACTCCCAAGTGGCTGGTTGTGGTTATAGTCCCAGACCCGTGGCTTGAAAATCACACGGGGTGTGTGTACATGTGTGCCCAATATCTCAGGAGGAGAAAAGAGGAAAAGGAATTGCAGGGTGGCCATTCCCCCAGGGGTTGATTTCTCACTTTCCCTCTCATTATGTCTGTCTGTCCGACTATCTAGTGAATGCATGTGCCCTAGGGCAAAAACCTCTCATTAAAAAGAAAAATTCTTTATGATTTTAGTTTTTCTAAAAATGATGTCCATTTAGACTATGTCCAGAATGATTGATTTACCACAAGTATTTTAATTAAACTGGTTAGTCATATCAAGACTTTGAGACTTTGATTCTATTTTTCTACAGATTTTTTGTCAAACAATTGACTAGATGAATTGTATGTTACAACAGCATGTTACATTTTTTTTGAGTGATTTTTGCTATAGGATGTGTACTTATCAGAGAGCGAGAGACAGACAGAAAGTGAGAAATCACCCCCTGGGGGGATGACCACACCACCATCTCTTCTCCTCCATTCTCCTCTCAGGATTTTGGATATGCACGCATACACGCATGGTGTATTTCAAGTCTCCAGTACCAGGACTCGAGTTGTGGTTGGTCATGTGGGAGTCCAGTGATTTAACCATGATGCCATCAGCTGGTTCGGTGTCACATGGTTTTAAACAGTCAATTCTGGGCTTCTTTAGAGCAGTTGAGAAGATCTACTATACTTTACCCATGTGGAAACAAAGGCTTAAAGCAAAACCCTATTCCTTAGGCAGCCACTAGTTTCTCCAGTTACTGGCAGAAACAGGGATCTTTTGATATTTTGTATTTAGTATTAAGTGTATTTATCGAAAGTTTTCCATGTGCACAATGCTGAAAACAAACTGATATCAAATCTGGTCTGCTATAGAAACAGTGGAATAATACATTTATCATCTAACCCAGCTTGAGTCCATCATGATCAATTTTAGATTTTAATTTTAATCCAATCCAAAGGCTATAAATGAACAGCTAATAGTTTTAACTCTCTTCAATAATAGAAATCTGAAGTGTAGGTCACCTGTAATAAAGTATTATCATATTTCTATTTATGAAACACGAATGAATTTCAGTTTAGGGGAAGATTTATGCTATATATTGTCACTGTAATAATGTAAATATTCTCTTGTTAAATAGAAGTATCTTTTTGTTCCTCTATTTCACAGTCTTAGGTATTGCATGAAATCTTTCAGATCTAATGACACTTTACGCTATTCAGATGTTTGGAAGTGATTATTAACCTTGGTTAAAATGGGAAATATATCTTCTATATGCAAAATACTTTTAACTTAGAAAGACTAATTTATTGGAACAATTAAAATACAAACATTACAAATAATCTTTATGATAAAATTTAAAAAGAAATATAATACATTCAATTTTGTAGATTTTATGCTTTTCACTACTTCTAAAGTAAAATGAAACCAGGACCGTATCTTACTGGAGATCTTCTTTGAATTACTTTCATTATCAAACTTTTTATTTAGAAACAATTGTAGATTAGCAACAAGTTGCAAAATGAATTCAAGGAGACCCCTTGTGTTGTTCACCCACTTTCTCTCAGTGACAGTATCTTGCATGAACGTAGTTCAATGTCAAAATCAGTAAATTTACATTGGTACAATCCACAGGCCTTATTTAAATCTCACCAGTTTTATACATGCTCACTGGTATACATTTATCCTTTACATTTTATTTTTTTGCTCTAGAGCAAGTGCACGAGAAAGGAAGAGACAGAAAGTGAGAAAGCATCCCCACAAGGGGTATGACAATACCACAATCCCTTCTCCTCTTAGGATTCAAGGCTTGCATGTACACTTGTATATTTTCCTTTTTCCTTTCCTTTCCTTTCCTTTCCTTTCCTTTCCTTTCCTTTCCTTTCCTTTCCTTTCCTCTCCTCTCCTCTCCTCCCCTCTCCTTTCCTTTCCTTTCCTTTCCTTTCCTTTCCTTTCCTTTCCTTTCCTTTCCTTTCCTTTCCTTTCCTTTCCTTTCCTTTCCTTTCCTTTCCTTTCCTTTCCTTTCCTTTCCTTTCCTTTCCTTTCCTTTCCTTTCCTTTCCTTTCCTT